AGCTAGCTAGCTAGACAGCTAGCTAGCTAGCTAGACAGCTAGCCAGCAGAGTAGCTGACTGGCTGGCCAGGTAGGCAGTTAGCGAACAAGGAAGCGAACTAGCCAGCTAGCTAGTTTACTCCTTGACTAGCTAGCTAGTCAGCTAGCTAGCACGCCGGCTAGCTAGCCAGCCCGCCGGCTAGCTAGCCAGCCCGCCAGCTAGCTAGCCAGCCAGCTAGCATCCCAGCTAGCTAGCTAGCCAGCTAGCTAGCTAGCTAGCCATCCAGCTAGCTAGCTAGCTAGCTAGCTGTTTGGGGCCGGGACGCTCCAAGGTGGATGGCTTCGCCTGCGGCGTTTGTCTGCGGCAGCGGCGTTTTGTTTTTCGGGTTTATTAAAGGCTTTGTGGGGCGTTGTGTGTTGCAGCTAGCTGGCAGCTAGCTACACCTCAAGCAGCAGCTAGCTAGGTCTTAGTGGCAGCTAGCTAGACCTTATCAGCAACTAGCCAGGTCTTCTCAGCAGCTAGCTATAGCATACCAGCAGCAGCAGCTAGCTAGCTAGACCTTATCAGCAGCTAGCTGGGTTTCACCAGCAGCTAGCTAGCTAGATCTTATCAGCAGCTAGCTGGGCCCCACCAGCAGCTAGCTGAGTCTCAGAGGCAGCTAGCTAGCTAGACCTTATCAGCAGCTAGCTGGGCCCCACCAGCAGCTAGCTGGGTCTCAGAGGCAGCTAGCTAGTTATATCTTATCAGCAGCTAGCTGGGTCCCACCAGCAGCTAGCTAGCAGCACGACCCATCTAGCTGTTCGCTAGGCACCAGCTAGTTCCTGCACTCCCCCTAGCTAGCTACAACATGAGGCGCAGCCAGCTAGGCGGTGTTCTATGGTGGCTAGCTAGCTACAGCGTAAGATACAGGCAGCCAGTGGCTAGCTGCAGCTAGCTGCAGCTGGCCTAACTAAACCCTCAAACCTAACTAAACCCTAAACCCTAAACCCTAACTAAATCCTAACTAAAAGCCCTAATGAAACCCTCAACACGGCTTAATCAAGTACCAACAGCTGCAGCTAGCTGTAGCTAGCTGCAGCTAGCTGTTGAGGATCTGCCTGTCCCCCTCATTGGCTGCCAGGCCTCAATTTTCTTTACAACTGAAGGTAGCTGCCTGCTGCATTGCATGCCCCTAGAACAGCTAGCTAGCTAAGTAGGTAGCGAGCTAGCTAGCTAGCTAGCTAGCTAGCTAGCTGTTGGGTGGATTGCTGTGGAGGCAGCGCAGAACTTAAAACGAGGCCAAGTTATAAGGAACAGGTCTGCTGCTGCAGCAAGCCAAGTGGCTAGCTGGCTAGCTAGCCAGCTAGCTATACAATCAGCTAGCTAGCTAGCTAGCTAGCTAGCTGGCTAGCTAGCTAGCTAGCTAGCTAGCTAGCTAGCTGGAAGGGGAAAAGGGACAGGAGACAGAGAGACCGTCAACCCTCCTTGACAACCC